AAAATATTAATATAAATTTTGGATAGTGCTATAGCCCGAGTGTTGACTGTTGAATGCAAGTTGGTGTTTTATTATCTATCTTGTTTACTCACTGTTTGTCTTATATTATTGCACCCCCTTCCCGTGATTGTAAGCCGCCCTGAGTCCCCTCAGGGAGAAGGGAGGCCTATAAATCGTAATAAATGTCTAAATGTCTAAAAATGTCTAAAACCTGAGAGTCCTCATTTGAAAGCATAGGCTTGCTCATTTAATGTCTCAGCAATATTAACAATTACATTGTCACTCTACCAGCAAACTCAGCCTACAGGATATACTCACATCTTGGGAGTACTCAACCACACTTTGCAGGACCTTCTTCAGGTTGCTCACCTGGGGAAAAATGGGCAAAGATGACAATATAGGTGTAGATTTGCTTGAGTATTCCTGTTTTCATCTTCAAGAAGCCATAAAATTGGAACCCATTATTCCTAGTAATGAGATGTGCAATCATGCTACTTTTACAAGCTTCAATGCTACCTTGATAGGAAGAAGAGTTGTGATGATTTAGTGGGAAAGAGAGCATGATACAAGCCAGGTCAATTGCCATTGCTTGCTGAAGATGGCTCACCGCTAAATGCCACCTTCATTTTCAATCCAAACAACTGACTTTGTTTGGAGACCAAGGTTTGGCTGTCCATTTCATGTACTCCTTAAAAAGCACCTAGGAACTTTGTGAAGCTAAAGTGATAAATCAAGGCAATCAAGCTGACATTTTTTGCTAACATCTCAATCATTATTGGCACAAATAAGGGAGCAGTCTTATTTGTTATTCAGTAGATGGAGGTTCTCCTAAAAGATTATAAACACAGATTTCTTCTTGTTAGATTCAAAGTGCATGTCTTGAGCTGGCAGTACTGAGAGTATAGAAAAGTAAATGACAGTATCCAATATATACTGCAACCTAGCAACCTGAACTCCACTTTTAGGATAATCAGACTCAAGAATCCTATGCATTTTAGAGCAGGGTCCTCTTTAGTATCTGAAATGCTTTATGAAGCTGGTATATAACTGGTTTAGAACACTGAAACCTCCCAATTTGTAGCTGCTGGCTGTTGAATTTTCTTCTGAAGTTCTCATTTCTGCTTCTGAGTTTGAGGTTTCCAACTGATACTCAAACACACAGTTAATCACTGTTCCTTTCTTCTAAATGCAGACTGGCTTAAAAAGGAAGGTGGATGATGATCTTTCTACAGTACCCTTCCACTCTTCCGGTCCCAGTGCATTTCTTCCTTGTCTCCACTTTCTATAAGGCTGAAACTATATTGCATAATCATACTATCAACTCATTTCTGGAAACCTCATTGCCACGTAATGATCTTCAAATAAATGTTTTCTTCTCTACTTCCCCCCATCCCATTTCTCTCTGAGCATTTAAGGACACTGGACTTCATGAATTTAACAATCCAAATTATATGCACTTAGCTCTCTGTATTTGGTTTAACAATGCTGACTTGAAACTTGCTTTACCAGAAAAAAGCATACCACAGCAAAATAAATCCAGGGTTGAGTAATGGATAATTTCC